TTCACAGCTTGAATAATCCATTTATTAAATCACCATCTAATCCAAGTGAAAAGTAACAGTTTTCATACTGCTAAAACTATCATTCCCTCATTCATAAATCAACCTGCTCTTCTAAATAAAAAACAAAGAACACTGACAAAAGAATGATGATAGTAATTTGCCACAAAGAAATACAATGTGTCAAATATACAATTATTGAAGAGCTGTGAGAAAAACATTTTCTAGTGAAATTGTATCCGGGATGAAAATATCTCATACGTGCTTATATAACAGTGTATTTTATAATCCCAGTTAAAAATCATACGTGATCGGTCCTGTTCTATTTTAAAGCAAGACTCACACTTAGTTCCTGCCCAGTTGACCTCCACTAATTTAAACATTTAATGTCATTACGGATTCATCAATTTTAATGATTGGGTTAACATTCATTCATACCTTTGTCTCTGCGTGTCAAACAAGCACAAAAATAGATGAACAAAACAATAATTTTAATAGAGGCCGCAGCCTCTTAGGTTGTTTGCAATGATGACATCCGTGACGGCATCAAACACAAATTGAATGTTGTTAGTGTCCGTAGCGCATGTTTGATGGCAGTAAATTTCCTTCGCTGAGCTTTTATTTTTAGCTTCAAACTGTGCCTGTATGTATGCAGACGCCTCTTGATATATTTGTTTTCCTGAAAATTGAAATAAAAATGTCATAAAAAAATGTTAAGAGTATTTTTTGAACAACAATATCTTGTTCAATCCATCTCAGTTATAATTGTGATTTACTGAGTTTTTCTATTGATATTGGATGATTTCCTGCCAAAACTGAGGAAAGGCTTTGCAGAATGTTAAGCTTCAAAGTTATTTTTGCTTCCGACAGCGCTTTGCTAATGCAGTTTCTACATAAGGACGGTAGTCTATGGTTTCGCTGCCTGAGCTACTGGGTTTGGAATGCCTTTCATTTGCGCTGCTGTTGTGTCATTTTGTTCAATATGGCTGGTCGCCGGTGGCCGGTTTACATATAAGCTGGTGAAATACCTTATGTAAAATTCTACGTGTGTGTATCATGCCCGACTACTTCCATCAACGACAAACTGCATTTCTGGTGGCAACTGTTGGATTTGCCACCCAGAGCAACTGTAATAAACATTTACTGAGAGCACATATTTTTGGATTGGTCCGGAACTAGTTGTTTATTCGCTAGTGTTTCATCTGCAACAGTGAGGGATATTTCATTTGATTCACACTGGCACAGGAATAAAGCAAGTAAGGAGAAACCTGACTGAGGTGAAGTTGAAACCTCGACTAACTAACACTGATATTGGAAACGTTAAACTTGCTATTTACGTTTGGTTATTTAACAATGAATAGATTACATAATAATTGCTACAGTCTGAAAGTGTACAGATTATTACATTTTTACATATTCAATAGTCTATCAAAAATATAGGTCTAGCCCTAAATGCCCTATGTGCCCAGAGTGGCAAGCATCATTTCAGAAGTCCTAGGTAGTTAGTATCCTATAGATATTTTCTCAAGAGCATACAGCTGAGTTGGGATAAAAACAAGCCGAAAGACCGACTTGTTCAGTACCAGCTGGTGATAAACTGATGCATGACAATCACAATCTGATCAATGCCTTTTGGGAGAAAGTGAACCGGAATCTGGTCAATGCCCTTAGGAAGCAAGTGAACCAGAATCTGGTCAATGCCCTTTGGGAGCAAGTGAACCGGAATCTGGTCAATGCCCTTTGGGAGCAAATGAATAGCGCTGAAGCACAAACTAAATCATCATTTTGGGAGCATATGAACAGTGCTGAAGCACAAACTAAATCATCACTTTGGGAGCAAGTCAACAGTGCTAAAGCACAAACTAAATCATCACTTTGGGAGCAAGTCAACAGTGCTAAAGCACAAACTAAATCATCACTTTGGGAGCAAGTCAACAGTGCTGAAGCACAATAAACTAAATCATCACTTTGGGAGCAAGTCAACAGTGCTGAAGCACAAACAGAATCATCACTTTGGGAGCATATGAACAGTGCTGAAGCACAAACTAAATCATCACTGTCTGTGGAGAATGGTGCAGCTAGGTTGACCAGGGGGATCAACATCAAAACACTTGTGAAGGGAAAATGCAAGAAATTGTGATGAGAACAAACCATACAACTTTTTTTCCATCTATGAATAGGTCACTGGAGATTCAGTACCACAACCATAAAATATAGACTGCACAGTCCCCACAGTGTGCACATTAGACAGGACCTCAAATACCTGAGCACATTCTGCAGACCTGCTCACTCTACCTCATCATCACGTGCCTTGCTGAATGGCATGGGTGATCATGCCTCTCCACAATCTGTGATCCGCAACTGCATGTATCAGTTCGTATGCTGACACCCCTCCATACCTACAATTACATTCTACCTACAACTTCAAAAAGAAACCAGGTATCAAGAGAAAAGTGTGCAGAGCAAGCTGTGGTAAACCACAAAGGACCTACAGCTCTGACGATCTGACATGAGCAAAGTGTGCAGAGCAAGCTTTGGGAAACCATGAAGGACCTACAGCTCTGATGGTTTGACATCAGCAAAGTGTGCAGAGCAAGCTATGGGAAACCACGAAAGACCTACAGCTCTGATGGTTTGACATCAGCAAAGTGTGCAGAGCAAGCTATGGGCATGAAAGACCTACAGCTCTGATGGTTTGACATCAGCAAAGTGTGCAGAGCAAGCTATGGGAAACCACGAAAGACCTACAGCTCTGATGGTTTGACATCAGCAAAGTGTGCAGAGCAAGCTATGGGAAACCACGAAAGACCTACAGCTCTGATGATTTGACATCAGCAAAGTGTGCAGAGCAAGCTATGGGAAACCACGAAAGACCTACAGCTCTGATGGTTTGACATCAGCAAAGTGTGCAGAGCAAGCTATGGGAAACCACGAAAGACCTACAGCTCTGATGGTTTGACATCAGCAAAGTGTGCAGAGCAAGCTATGGGAAACCACGAAAGACCTACAGCTCTGATGGTTTGACATCAGCAAAGTGTGCAGAGCAAGCTATGGGAAACCACGAAAGACCTACAGCTCTGATGATTTGACATCAGCAAAGTGTGCAGAGCAAGCTATGGGAAACCACGAAAGACCTACAGCTCTGATGGTTTGACATCAGCAAAGTGTGCAGAGCAAGCTATGGGAAACCACGAAAGACCTACAGCTCTGATGGTCTGACATGAGCATAAGAAACCAAACACAAAGACAAAGAAGACAAGGGAATCTGGCTGACATTCAACAAAAGGCAAGGCAGGCAGACATTCGGATCTCTACTGGTATTGGAACTCTACACTAGCTGCTGAAGATGAGGATGGAGGGCACATGGGAATGCCCCGAGTTATGTGATGTCAATTCTTGACTCAACTCAACTTCTGGAATCATTGGAGTTGACACTCTCCTATTGACTGTTGAATATCCCAAGTGATATCATTGGAGTTGACACTCTCCTCTTGACTGTTGAATATCCCAAGTGATATCATTAGAGTTGACACTCTCCTCTTGACTGTTGAATATCCCAAGTGATATCATTAGAGTTGACACTCTACTCTTGACTGTTGAATGTCCCAAGTGATATCATTAGAGTTGACACTCTACTCTTGACTGTTGAATATCCCAAGTGATATCATTAGAGTTGACACTCTACTCTTGACTGTTGAATATCCCAAGTGATATCATTAGAGTTGACACTCTACTCTTGACTGTTGAATGTCCCAAGTGATAGAGTTGACACTCTACTCTTGACTGTTGAATATCCCAAGTGATATCATTAGAGTTGACACTCTACTCTTGGCTGTTGAATATCCCAAGTGATATCATTGGAGTTGACACTCTACTCTTGACTGTTGAATATCCCAAGTGATATCATTAGAGTTGACACTCTACTCTTGGCTGTTGAAAATATCAAGTGATATCATTGGAGTTGACACTCAACTCTTGACTGTTGAATATCCCATGTGATATCATTAGAGTTGACACTCTACTCTTGACTGTTGAATATCCCAAGTGATATCATTGGAGTTGACACTCTACACTTGACTGTTGAATATCCCAAGTGATATCATTGGAGTTGACACTCTACTCTTGACTGTTGAATATCCCAAGTGATATGATGTTGGTTCTCAACTTAACTGAAATTTATTTGCCTGTTGCTATTTTGTGGGTTATGTTTGAAACCAATTCCTTGTCCAGGACCTTCTGGGAGGAGAGAAGTTCATCATCATCATCATCCTTCATGTGCTGTTAGACATCACATATTCTCACACTGATTCCTCAACTCCACTCTCCACTCTATTGCATGCAACTCTCTCGATTTCCGACACGGAGTTCATTGCATTTTTAGCCTCTCGTAATAATTTTTTCCTAATGTTTCCCTTGGACATCCTCTTTGTTCTTAGACCATTTGATTCCCATTTCAGAGTTGGTTTTGTAATTCTTTGCTCATTTTGTCTTAGAGTGTGCCCAAAACAAAATATCTCTATTTCAAATTATTTGTTGAATTTTGTTTTCTGCATGGTGTCTCATTTTAAACCCTCAAAAACAACAATGGGAAGGAGACAAACATGTTCTCTGGTCATGTGATGAGAAAAGGAGCACTGGTAAATATTGTGATGACTGGAAAGATCACTGGTAGATGAGGCAGAGGCAGGCCACAAGAAAAGATGGTGGGTGACTTAAGACAGTGACATGGAGAAATATCATCAGTGGAGGTGAACCAGAACACCAAAAACTGAGATCTGTGGAGATGCAGGAATGCCTATGCCAGCTGGCAAGGCACTTGATGTTGATGAATGACTCAAACAATATAATACTTGCGAGTACAGCTTCTTGAGTTATAATAAGAAAATTCCTGGGAAAGAATGAGTTTAAATGTCTCCCCCCCCCCCCCCCCCCCCTTTTCGCCCCCCCCCCCCATCCCGCGCAAAAAATAATTAAGAAATGCAATGTTTAACAAACCTGTGTATTCAGGGAAACATATTCGACAATGGTGACTTCTTTATCTTTTCCTCAAAGAGATCTTTCTTGTTCAAAAACAAAATAATGGAGGTTTCTGTGAACCATTTATTGTTGCAGATGGAATCAAACAGTTTCAAGCTTTCCTGCATTCGATTCTAGGAAAGAAAGAAGAAAAATAATAAAACATGTTAGGTTCATGGTAATGGTATTCTGGTAATCTTAGTTTCAGCTTCATAGCAAACGGGTCACCCCATAGTTGTTCCACTCCTGTGCCAGCAAAAAACACACAGAATTTTCATCACAGTCTCTTGTGGAAAGATTGACAGACTGCTGTCTCAGCATATGCACTAGCATACACACACATTAAAAGCATACAGTAGCCATCAGAAGTGCTAACACACACAGTCCGACATTAGAAATGCAGTTCATTATCCATGGTAGCAGAGGTAATCAACAAGTCAGCAGTTGCACACGCAATCAATTTTAATCACATAAGGGCATCGCCAATATTGCGATGACAGGCCACGTGAAATTTTCTGAATCTACAATTCACAACACCATGTTGGTCACAGTCGAAAAACATTCCAAATGAAATCTGCAGCTCACAGGGTCGCACCATGCACTCAACTCAGTAGCTGGGCGATGAAACTATATCCTTTCAGTCTACAAATGGAGCAAAAATGCTACGGCCACTATCTGCCAGAAGCAATAACTTTGCCACGACTCAAAACAGTGATCGTGCCTAGCGTCCATTTTGACTGGAGGTTAGGTACACTTCTTCTTTTGTCATCTCACTGACACCAGGTTGTAGCCCAGTGTCGTGGTTTTGTCATCTCACTGACACCAGGTTGTAGCCCAGTGTCGTGGTTTTGTCATCTCACTGACACCAGGTTGTAGCCCAGTGTCGTGGTTTTGTCATGTCACTGACACCAGGTTGTAGCCCAGTGTCGTGGTTTTGTCCTCTCACTGACACCAGGTTGTAGCCCAGTGTCGTGGTTTTGTCATCTCACTGACACCAAGATTGTAGCCCAGTGTCGTGGTTTTGTCATCTCACTGACACCTAGGTTGTAGCCCAGTGTCGTGGTTTTGTCATCTCACTGACACCAAGATTGTAGCCCAGTGTCGTGGTTTTGTCATCTCACTGACACCAGGTTGTAGCCCAGTGTCTTGGTTTTGTCATCTCACTGACACCAGGTTGTAGCCCAGTGTCGTGGTTTTGTCATCTCACTGACACCAGGTTGTAGCCCAGTGTCATGGTTTTGTCATCTCACTGACACCAGGTTGTAGCCCAGTGTCATGGTTTTGTCATCTCACTGACACCAGGTTGTAGCCCAGTGTCGTGGTTTTGTCATCTCACTGACACCAGGTTGTAGCCCAGTGTCAAGGTTTTGTCCTCTCACTGATACCAGGTTGTAGCCCAGTGTCATGGTTTCATCATCTCACTGATACCAGGTTGTAGCCCAGTGTCAAGGTTTTGTCATCTCACTGATACCAGGTTGTAGCCCAGTGTCAAGGTTTTGTCCTCTCACTGATACCAGGTTGTAGCCCAGTGTCATGGTTTCATCATCTCACTGACACCAGGTTGTAGCCCAGTGTCGTGGTTTTGTCATCTCACTGATACCAGGTTGTAGCCCAGTGTCAAGGTTTTGTCCTCTCACTGATACCAGGTTGTAGCCCAGTGTCATGGTTTCATCATCTCACTGATACCAGGTTGTAGCCCAGTGTCAAGGTTTTCTGTATTTGTCTTGCACTTATCGGGCAGCTTGGGTGATGGATTTTGTTCATCTGTTTGCAGGTTTCAGCTGCACCACTTATCTATCTCTTTCTTGGTCTTCCTCTCACCTTCCTCTCAGATGTTCTGCTGTAAAAAGTCTCATAGGCAGTTTGGCCTGGCTGCATTCTCACTAGATGCCTGAACTATTTCATTCTTTGTCTGTCAATATAATCTATATATGTTCTTATTCCATGTTTCTCTCTAATGCTGGTATTCATAGCCCTGTCTCCTCTTGTGCTGTTATGCTAAAATATAGAAATGTTTTCTTAAATGAATGAATGAATAAATGAAGTTGGGGCATTCATACATGTACATTGTCCCCCTTCTTCATTATCCAACAGTCTCCAATCTGCTGGTGCCAGTTGTGACCTGATTTATGAAGCTTCAACGATGATTAAGTCTACCTGATCTGTAAAATGTGCACACAAAAACTAAAATCTTGGAACAAGAACAAAGTCCAGAAGTGAAAAAATAACCAGAGCTTTCTGCTGATGTTTACAGTTGGTAAACATTCAGAAGTGAAAAAATAACCAGAGCTGTTTGCTGATGTTTAAAGTTGGTAAACATTAAGAAATGAAAAAAATAACCAGAGCTTTCTGCTGATGTTTACAGTTGGTAAACATTCAGAAGTGAAAAAATAACCAGAGCTTTTTGCGGATGTTTACAGCCAGTAAACATTCAGAAGTGGAAAAAAAAATCTAGAGCTTTCTGCTGATGTTCACAGCCGGTAAACATTCAGAAGTGAAAAAATAACCAGAGCTTTTTGCGGATGTTTACAGCCAGTAAACATTCAGAAGTGGAAAAAAAAACGCCAGAGCTTTCTGCTGATGTTCACAGCCGGTAAACATTCAAAAGTGAAAAAATAACCAGAGCTTTTTGCTGATGTTTACAGTTGGTAAACATCCAGAAGTGAAAAAATAACCAGAGCTTTTTGCTGATGTTTACAGCCAGTAAACATTCAGAAGTGAAAAAATAACCAGAGCTTTTTGCTGATGTTTACAGCCGGTAAACATTCAGAAGTGAAAAAATAACCAGAGCTTTTTGCGGATGTTTACAGCCAGTAAACATTCAGAAGTGGAAAAAAAAACCTAGAGCTTTCTGCTGATGTTCACAGCCTGTAAACATTCAGAAGTGGAAAAAAAAAACACCAGAGCTTTCTGCTGATGTTCACAGCCGGTAAACATTCAGAAGTGAAAAAATAACCAGAGCTTTTTGCTGATGTTCACAGCCGGTAAACATTCAGAAGTGACAAAATAACCAGAGCTTTCTGCTGATGTTCACAGCCGGTAAACATTCAGAAGTGACAAAATAACCAGAGCTTTCTGCTGATGTTTACAGCCGGTAAACATTCAGAAGTGACAAAATAACCAGAGCTTTTTGCTGATGTTTACAGCCGGTAAACATTCAGAAGTGACAAAATAACCAGAGCTTTTTGCTGATGTTCACAGCCGGTAAACATTCAGAAGGAAGCAGAGACATGAGCATCAAGCAACATTTCAAAACTGGAACAAAACCGTGGTTGCCGGGGGGCCCCATTGAGGGCGAAAACAAGAATAGACCCACTGCCTACCCAAAAGCATGTCATAAGAGTCTAATAATTGGGAGCTTCCTTCGAAGTCAGCGTGTGTCTGCCTGAGAGGCAAGAAACCAACAGTCTGCATACACCCAAGTCAGATCTTTAATATGGATATGCATGCAACACTCACGTTCTGGAACATGACTAGAGTCCAGAAGTGGATGAACAACCACAACTTTCCACCAGAGTTAACAGCCAGCGAACACAAAAAAGAAGAAGAAGCAGCAGAAACCTATCCACATAAAAATCAATGTATACATGATATGTGATTCTGAAATGCACACATTTAGACCATTATCTGTTAGTTTAATCACTGTAGGAAGATTCTCCTTGTACTGTCTAAGAAAAAGGACTTAGCACCATTGAAGGTATCTGAGTGCAGTTAAAGTGAGGATTTGCAAAGCGATTCCTGAATTTTTGGCAATTTTGGAGACAGAAATGGCATTAACTGAAGAGAATTAAAATGAATATTGAGAAATTAGGGACAGAATCAGAAGAACGAGGTCAATAATGAGGAGAAGTGAAGGAGATAAAGAATTAAAAAAAGGAAGAAATTAAAGAAGAGGAAGAAAGGAGAAAGAAGGGAGGGGAAGAAAAAAAAAAGGAAGGAAAGAAGAAAGGAAGGAAGATGAGAGGAAGGAAGCAATAAACAAATAAAGGAGGTAACAAGAATGAAGGAAGGAAAAAGAATGGAAGGAAGGAAAAGAAGGAGAGAAAGTAGAGGGAGAGAAGGAAGGAGAGAAAGTAGAGAGAAGGAAGGAGAAGGAGGGAGAGAAGGAAGGAGAGGATGGAAGGAAGGAGAGGAAGGAAGGAGAGGAAGGAAGGAGAGGAAGGAAGAAGTGGAAAGAAGGACGGAAAAGGAATAATTAGTAAGAAGAAAGTAGAAAAGCAGAAAATTAACATAGTAAAAGGGTGTAGAAAACTTGTTACAAGAAAAACGAAGAATATGAAAAAATGAGGAAAAAGGGAATGAAAAAAGGAAGAGATTAAAGAAGAAGGAGAGGAAGGAAGGAGAAGGAAAGAAGGATTAAAGAAAGGAAGGAAGAAAGTAGGGAGAAGAATGAGGGGAAGGAAGGAATAAACAAAGAAAGTAGGGAAGGAGAATGAAGGAAGGAAGGTGAAGAAGGAGAGGAGGGAAGAAAAAAGAGATAAAGGAAGGAATGAGAATATGGAAAGGATAAAGAGGAAAGCTGGAAAGACAGACAAGAAGTAAAGAAGGAGATGAAGGCAAAGAAGGAAGGACAGGATTGAAGGGAGGCAGGAGAGAAAAGGGAATGAAAGATGCAGAAGAAAAAAAAAAGATGAGGGAAACATTAGCACGAAGTAAAGGTATATAGTAAACTTACTGTGGTCTCATCTTCGTGTAAGACTTGATCATACTCGCTCATGGCCACACAAAATATAATGGCTGTCACATCTTCAAAACAGTGTATCCATTTCTTTCGTTCTGACCGCTGACCACCCACATCGAATAATCTGTGAACACAATTCAGATATCAAGTGAATGAGGTGAGTCCGGTTGAGAAAAGACATCAGGGCAAATGGGACACTCCCATAAGCATTCCCTTTCTATCTTCAGCACCTAGGCTGAGTTCCAATTCTAAGGGTACCAGTTGAGTTGATTCAAGAACTGACATCACAGCACATAAGCGCTCCATCCCCATTTTCAGCAGCCAGCACAGAGTTCTAATACCAACGGTGCCAGTAGCAGTTTGACTATACGTCCGTCCTGCCTTTCCTCTGAGCATCGAGAATCGGCCAGAACCCTCGTCAATACTGCTGCATCACTCTCATCAAACTGTGGTGATCCATTTGCTCTCCCACAAGGCCCTAACCATGTCTGCCTTATCATGTATCAGTATTTCACCAATTTATGCAGAGCCAGCCAATCTGTCCACCTGTTCATTTCCCAACACACCAGCATTACCCAGAGAAAAGATCCAGACAATGCTCCTCACTCATGACCTCTGCAGTGGAATCAAAAACAAAGTGACATATTTTCAATTTCAATGTTATATAATTTTCAACCTATAATATTGACAGTCGGAAAACCAATAAAGATATGGCATGAAAGTTAAACGAATTAGAAAACAAATGCCTGAAGAAAATAAAGTAAGTAAAGTAAAGATCCCTTATTACGCCTAAGGCGCATCGGGTATATGGGCAGAGCGTCCCATATTTTTACAGACCAATCGGTGGGTAATGTGGTCAGCATTATGCCGACCATCTCTACTTCCCCAGAACAGCCATCATGGCACCCATTTGAGGCTGGGTCGACCTGCGACGTCCCATACCATGATAAAAATCCACGCAGCTCGCAGTGGGTTTCGATCGCGGTACGTTGGATTACGAGTGGGACTCGTAACGCCTTAGCCACGGATGCAGCCCTGAAGAAAATGATGAACACAAAATGAGATGAATACCATAAGGATAGTGTTGTTGGAGCACACACAGGGAAGATATCAAAAAAGGGTAATTTTATTCTAAGATGAATTTTGCTCCGAGGAGTGACCAGGGATTTGGCTCATACTTGTCACACATCAATTCACCACCAAGTGGTGCAGAGCCAGCCAGTCTATCTGCCTGCTCATTACCCAACACACCGGCATGACCTGGAGAAAATATCAAAAATATGCTAACTACCCGGGAAAACTAATGAAGGATTTGCTGAAACTGGATGTGTTGGCTGAAAGATGTACATACTACCCGGGACCTCTGAAGTGATGCTTGCCACTCTGCACGAAGCATGCCTGTTTTCACCTTTCTCAACATGCTCTGTGAGTCAGTTACAATCACGCCATGTGTGTACAGCTGATTCTCAAGCCAGCGAAAGGCAGCGGTAACTGCCTCCACCTCCATTCTCGAATTAGACGTTGTGATACCATATGCAAGGCTTTGCTTCTCTAGGCGACATCCATTTGCCTTTGCTATGAACTCCCATGCCCTTCGTCTGCCCCTCAACCCATCTGTATTGATAATCACATCACTTGGGCGGGAATTGTCATGAACTGTAGGAAGTTACAGATTAATATTAAACCAACACAGAACTTTGGGGGAGGGGGGGTTATTTTCTTTTTTTTCCCCTCACCTCTCAGAACCTGGAATGACAGCATCAAGAAATTGACAGGTAACCTGAGTTATCATACACTTATTGATCAAGCAGAAGACAAGAGAAAGATGGTGGGTTTGGGGTGCTAGTGCTTCTATCAATCCCCTCCCCACCCTTATGGGTCAAGGGTTATGCCCACAGAAGAAGCTGCCATTACTGTCAAACTGAGGGGGGAGGGGGAATCAATGGTTTAGTGTGTAGGCAGGATGACCAATCGACTTAGTAACCAACAGAGAAGCAGAAGATACAATGGTTTGAGCTCCCCATGTGGGTTCCAAGAACCCATTTTTGGGGGGGAATGGGGGCTTTGAGGGGGGGGGGGGGGGGGAACAAATCTCCCCTACCCACCCCCACATAAAAGGCAGCTAATGGATTTGCCCAAACCGAGGGTGTTAGCTGCAGTGGGTCATCACAGCCAGCCTAGCAGTAAGCCACAATACAGCATGTCAAAAGGGCAAAGAACCCATTCATGAGGGGGGGGGGAAATTGGGTCTATTCTATTTCCCCAATGCCCCACTCTGTGTATGTCTCCACATCAAATGTGCCCAATACACCGTCATCTTTTCCACCGAGGGGGGGTGGTAAGAATTGGGTCTTATTTTCTTTTTTTTTCCCCTCACCTCTCAGTCCACCCCCACATAAAGGTAACCCCAAGTAACCTTTATGACATACCGAAGGGGGGGGGGGGCAGTGGGTCTATTCTCCCCTCCCCACCCCCACATGAAAGGGCCCAAGAACCCATACTGAGGGGGGGGGGCAATTGGGTCTATTCTCCCCTCCCCACATAAAAGGGCCCAAGAACCCATACCGAGGGGGGGGGGGGGGGAATTGGGTCTATTCTCCCCTTCCCACCCCCACATAAAAGGGCCCAAGAACCCATACCGAGGGGGGGGGGGGAATTGGGTCTATTCTCCCCTCCCCACCCCCACATAAAAGGGCCCAAGAACCCATACCGAGGGGGGGGGGGGCAGTGGGTCTATTCTCCCCTTCCCACCCCCACATAAAAGGGCCCAAGAACCCATACCGAGGGGGGGGGGGGGGAATTGGGTCTATTCTCCCCTTCCCACCCCCACATAAAAGGGCCCAAGAACCCATACCGAGGGGGGTGGGGTGAGTGATTCTATCATGCAGTGATGAAGAAATAATAATGTATTATATATACTTACTTGAAATTTAAATTTTTAAAAGAGAAGTGTACTTCAACTATGCCAGTGGTTTTTACTCTTGTCCTCAAGATATCCTGTTCTGTAGGCATGTAATCTTTTGCACCTAAACGATCTAAGTCATCTAAAAAGCTGGAATAGAAAGAAAGAAAACAAAGTTTCTAAGTAATCTAAAATGCTGAAAGAGAAAGAAAGAAAACAAAGTTTACTGCATGGGTTGTAAAACAAGAAACTGGTTATGTTGAAAATTACACTTCTGAGCAACAAGTACCTGTATAGTTAACAGTTGAAGTTAGCTGTGAATCCTTTACAGGATGTTGCAGAACCAACCCCAGCATTTTGTGGTTTTTCTAGGCAAATTTTATGTTCAGTAGTTTACCATTGCTTACTGAACGGTCAGCTCTCAGTACCACTGTCAAAACAAATGCAAGACAAACTGTCCGCAGCTGGGATCGAACCCGACAACCGGCATTACGAAATGCATTCACAATGCCTAAGCCACAGATGCCGACAGCTAACAGTAGTTTCATCAAAAACAAACAGTGCGGGGAGACAGAGAAACAGAGGAAGGGGGGGGGGGGGAGAGAGAGAGAGAGAGAGAGAGAGAGAGAGAGAGAGAGAGAGAGAGAGAGAGAGAGAGAGAGAGAGAGAGAGAGAGAGAGAGAGAGAGAGAGAGAGAGAGAGCATTAGGGAAGTTTGACAAAGAGGAAGACGAGATAAAAGAGAACAAGAAGAAAACAAAATGTCCTAAGCTCTCACCTTGTGTGATGCTGACACTATCACTTACAGAGTACCGCTGGTCTTCACAAACATTAGAACTCTTCATGATTTCAGAATTCATTTCATTTCTCCTACATTTCAGAGTAATTAGCTCAAGATGTGCCAAAGCTAATCAAGTAATGGGGCAACTATCCCCCTTGTTGACACACAAGCAGATAACACCGGAGTACTAAAGTGAATCTTATCATAACTATTTTTGGCCAAATGTGGACACTTACATCTTCCAATGAACGTAAAATTGTGACAACAGAGATTAAATGCCTTAGAAGAGCTGCAGGAGTTTCAAGGAAAGACAGAATATGAAATCACGAAATCAGACGAATGCTAGGAATAAAGCCAGTCTTACAAGTCATCAAAGAACAATAAATGAAGTGGTTTGGACACCTAATAAAAATGCCTGGTACTATCTGCCACAGCGAGACACACTAAAAACGTTACAACGGGTATAGAGACTCGCTCTATACCCTCGGAAAATATGGAGTGATGGCATGAAAAATAGCCTTACAGAAATGAACATCAATCTTAATAGTGCTCTTGACAGAGCTCATCAACCAATGTTACATCTTTCCCTGACACTTCGATGAGGTAGAAGGTGGAAAAGAAGAAGAAGAAGATGAACTCCTACATTTTTCAAAATAGTCACTTACTGTTAATTTTGTCTTAGCTTATACAACTTTGGATGAATATCCAAAATGTTTATCGGATGTTCAGATTTACTCCTGAATTAAGGACGTATAAATAAAAAATGAGGATGAATGGCTATCCTAGCTGGGCCACTTATTTGCTACTTAAATTCTCTTTCCCTTGGCTCAATTTGCGTTGCGGGAAAAAATAAAAAAATAGTCACGTTCAACCAGCATCCTCAAAAGGGGTGCTTTAGGTTATAATTGTGACTAGGTTTATGTGCGCCACATAAAATGACTTAACATTGCTTGCCATCAAGAAGCACTCAAAAGGATTCTTGCAGTGTTGATGCAATCAAAGGAGACAGGCCCAAATATTATCCCAACAGGCAACGAAGTCATCTACCTGCCAGCCAGTGGGTGATGATTTTTCCCTTTGCCTTCATTACTTCCTCTTTTAAGGATGCAGGTGTTGAAGGAGATACAACTTTTCGGTTCATGCTCTTCTGGCTATTTCTACCATAGACAGATGGTACTGAGGTTTTAGGTTTTGAACAACGGATCAACATCATGGCACACGAGTAGTAACCCATAAGTGCTCCGTTTTTCTAAATCAAGTCTGAGTCCAAAGAAGCTCAGCACAGTGCACAGGCTCTGTAGCACCGGTGAGGATCCTGAAATACTTTGGGTAGATGTTTAACTCAAATTTTTCCCAGGCAGGGCCAGTAGGCTACTCTTTTCAATTTCCAACTGCCAAGGGATTTGTTACATGTGCAACAATACACACGGGTGTCGGATCTCACTACCCAGATACGAGGGAGAATTACAGAAGTCCAAGTCCACAGGAAAAAATTCCAGCTTGTACAGAGGATTGAACCTGGAACCTCTAGCACTCGAGGCAACACCATGCCTCGAGACTACGCAGACCATTCAAGCCTCAGACATATTGTACTTGTGTCGAGTTTTTTTGATGTTACATTTCACCTTGTTTCTGATCTACCTCAAGCCCTGAGCTCCTTTCTTCCTCTGGTATATGCCTTTAGCTGTATTGCATCGACAGGTATTTGTTTTTTTTAAAATGCAGACCATTTTATTTGATATTTCTGGTTGCAGCTTAGTTCTATATATATGGGAGCCACGTTAGAGCAATCAATAGGAGACTTGCTTTCGAAACCTGACGGTTTCCGTAGTTAACACTCTAGGGTAAATGCAGGAATGTCGCTGTAGCTACGGAGTTTCATGCAGACGGTGACACAGACAGACATTTTCTTATCACCTGTCCGTACAGTTGGCAGAGCACTTATGGTTTATAACCGTGTGCAGTGACGCTGCTTCACATCTCCAGACATTACCTTTACCTTTTTATTAGTTCTATATAATTTTGTTTCATATGACTTCACTCCTGATTTTTATCTTTTCAGGTCACTGTACCCTTTCTCAAACATCTCATTTTAATGGTCGTCTTTTTCTGGTTAGTGAGTGACCATGAATTTTACTAGTAGCATGTCTTGAAACAGTCCATGAAGACAAACTGGGGAAAGAATAATAATAATTACAGACCAGAGCATTAAGTGGTTTGGACACCTAACAAGAATGTCCTGGTACTATCTGCCACAGCGAGCCACACTAAAACGTTACAATGGGTATAGAGCTAGTGGAAGACCTCAGAAAATATGGAGTGATGGCATTAAGAACAGCCTTACAGAAATGAACATCAGTCTTAATAGTTCTCTTGACAGAGCTCATCAACGAACATTAAAATCTCCCCCCCCCCCCCCCCCCCCCCGGCACTTCGATGAGGTACAAGGTGGAAGAGAAGAAGAAGAGCATGACAGTATAAACAGGCTTGGCAGAAATGCTCAGACCAACATTTTCAGACTTAGAATGGGGCACTGCAAACTCACAGCACACCTATATTGAATAGGTCTTGCTAATTCTGCAGCATGTGATTGTGGCTCCCCAAAGCAAACTTTAGAGCATGTCTTAAAGGACTGCCTGGACTTTGCCAGTCAGAGATAAGAAATCTGGCCCACAGGAGCATCCCTACAATGTAAACTGATAGGGCATTCAAACGCACCTTCCTGTTTATGACCAGTATTGGAATAGATGCATAGCATTGTAGTAGTAGTACATTTTACCCCACCAGGACATCACACAAGCGATAAACACTCAATGAAACAAAGTGCCACCATGTGGATGAGGATCACCCGTGGAGAGGTCCCGGAAATGGAGTTCAGCCATTAGACCTTATTTATGGCCGGGCTATATTGCAGCCCCTGGCAAGAGCTAGTGTGGGGCTTCAAATAACAAAAAATGCAGCCCACAAGGAGATGACTACGTATATAAGATGCGTAGCAACCATTAATTACTGAAGAGGAAGAAGAACTAATAGCATTGTAATGGGTACAAAATCCCAGGACGCCAAAAAGGTTCCCCAACAGGACAGCTAAGAAAGAATCAGCGAAAAAGCGTGGCCAAAGGAGGATTGAGAGTCCAGGTGAATAAACTAATGATTCTTGAGAATCTCATGAGGACAAAAGGAACTAGTTATAAGGAAGAGGAATTCTGTGCGAGACAGTGAGAGGAAGTGGATGGTTGGACTGAGTGATTGTTGAAGTGAATCTGAACAGTTGACAGACGGAGCAAATATCTGACGTATGCAGAAAGAAATGGCTGAGCAGACGATTGAAGCCTGCTGTTGATTGATGATGAGGAGAAATGTTGGCTGTGTATCAGTAACCAGAGACAGGAATGAATGGAGGGTGTTAAGTTTAAACAAGGTAACACAGATTAACAGATTTGTTAGCACCTGATTCAATCTCTGTATGAGAATACTTTCTAAATGATCTACGATAGGGACCACATCAACATGACTGATGAATTAGCAAAATAGGCTATCCTCTGAATAACGGTTTTAAATTATCGAGCCGGAAAATATAATATACCCTAACAGGGCCTCAGTCACGTGTCAGCTGCGCACTTCCGGGGACTGTGCCACCGCTGAATTGCAAATTTTCGGCAACGTCCACCACTGCCGAGAGAATCTCCCACACCGCTCACACGGCGTTGATTGGGGCTAAACTAGATGGCTAAGACTCACAAGCAAATAAAATGAAGGAAGCTGCAGGAGATGCGGTAGCTGCTGCTCATGAGTCCCAGCCATCTAGTTTAGCCCCAATCCACGCCGTGTGAGCGGCGTGGGGTATACTCTCGGCGGTGATGGAAGTTGCCGGAAGCACGCAATTTAAGTCAACGGAAGTGGGCAATTGACACTTGACTTTGGCCCTGTTAAGGTATATTTTCCGCCTCAATAATATAGGACCGTTATTCAGAGGATAGCCGCAAAATAAATTTGTGTGCATAAACTAGCCGTCCTCTTGGTGTGATGTTGACATTAACGCTCTCAACTGGTGTAATCTTACAGTTTGACAAAAGGGAGTCATTGAAAGCATAGTAAAGTAAAGTAATAAAAGTGAAGGTCCCCTTTCCAGGCGTATAGGCGTGTAGGGCTAGACCTATATTTTTTATAGACCAAACGTCACAAGATGGCCGATGTGGTCAGCATCATGCCAGCCACCTTTACTTTCTAGAACCGCACCTGGCACCCACTCAAGGCTGGGTCAACCTGGGAGTCAAGGTCATTTAAAAAAAAGTCAGACTCTGTTAGAGAGCGAACCCACGACTTTCTGATCTGCACACGACTTTCTGATCTGGCGTCTAGCCAGTAAAAATGGACGCTAGGCACGATCACTGTTTTGAGCCGTGGCAAATTTTTTTGCTTCTGCCAGAAGGTGGCCGTTCCATTTTTGCTCCATTTTTAGACTGAAAGGATATAGTTTTGTCGCACTGCTTCTGAGTTAAGTGCATGGCGTGACACTAGGAGCTGCAGATTTCATTTGGAATGCTTTTCGACTGTGACCAACGTGGTGATGTGAATTGTAGATCAGAAAATGGCGTGATGCCTGTTGTCGTAATATTGTTAGTGCCATTATGTGATTAAAATTGATCGCGTGTGTTACTGCTGATCTGTTGGTGACATCTGCTACCATCCATGATGAACTGCATGTCTAATGTCGGACTGTTTGTGTTAGCACTTTGGATGGCTACCACATGCTTTTAATGTGTAAGTATGCTAGTGCAAATGCTGAGACAGCAGTCTGTCAATCTTTCCACAAGGGACTGTGATAAACATTCTGGGTGTTTTTCATTGGCACAGGAGTGGAGCAACTATGGGGGAAACCCGTTTGCTATGAAGCTGAAACTAAGATTACCAGATTACCAGTCTAGCTGTACGCCACAGTGACTCCCCATTGAAAGCATTGAGTGAAGATATTATGCTATGTATGAGATGTTTCTTTGAGATGTCTCAGGTTGTTTCCTGTTGAAAGAGGAGGGCTAGCTATCCCAATATTTGGTTTGCTTTATGACATTAGATGTTAATTTCCTTACCCAATGTGCTACCACCCAATGAGCTGACGACTGTAGATATGTTGGATTAGAAAAAGCAAAAGTATCTGAGCTGAATTTTAAAAAAAAAAGTGAGGAGATCAGAGAAATGTCTGGACAAATATCTGATTGACTGCAATAAGACAAAGAAGGTGGTGATATTTTTGGCCACTCTGAGATGAAATGAGCAAAGAATAACAAAACAAGGGCTAAATGGGAAACAAACGAGAAAAAGAGGACATCTAAAGGAAACGTTAAGAAGAACATTATTACGAGAAGCTAAAAATGCTGGGCTGAGCTCTGTGTTAGAAACTGCTAGAGTTGCAAACAATAGAGTGGCACACACAGGATTATGATGATGATGATGATGATGACGGTGATGATGATGATGATGATGATGATGATATGATGATGATCTTACTATTTGGCAGAGTCATTGAGCTGGTACTCATTTGCACGACCTAAGCATTCTTGCACTCCAGAGTCCACCCATAATCGTTTCATGGCTGCAAGTAACTCCTCTGTGAAGGGCTCTGTATCTTCCATCCGAGCTATAACATCTAACACCATCTTGGCATCAGACTGCGGATCAATTTAAATGAAAAAGTGTTTTAAAAAATCACCAAGTAATGACATTCAACACAAACTGTGACTACGAAGCTGAATAGAGGGGAAAGAAAAATATGTACTAGTTCGCCTAATGTCTTCCCATCCTTATATTTAACTGCTGGTTACTTTGTAACTGTAGTGTTGAGTGAGTATTGAGTGAATTTTGAGAGCTGAGTGTGTGCTGAGTGAGCATTGAGTGAGTGTTGAGTGAGTGAGCGTTGAGTGAGTGTTGAGTGAGTGTTGAGTGAGTGTTGAGTGAGTGTTGAGTGAGTGTTGAGTGAGTGTTGAGTGAGTGTTGAGTGAGTTTTGAGTGAGCATTGAGTGAGCATTGAGTGAGTGTTGAGTATTGAGCAAGTGGTGAGTGTTGAGTGAGTGTTGAGTGAGTTTTGAGTGAGCATTGAGTGAGCATTGAGTGAGTGTTGAGTATTGAGCAAGTGGTGAGTGTTGAGTGAGTGTTGAGTGAGCATTGAGTGAGTGTTGAGCATTGAGTGAGCACTGAGTGAGCGCTGGGTGTTGAGTGAGCATTGACTGAGTTTTGAGTATTGAGTAAGTGTTGAGAGTTGAGTGAGTGTTGTGTGAGTGAGTGTTGAGCATTGAGTTGAGTGAGTGAGCACTGAGTGAACATTGAGTGAGTGTTGAGCGCTGGGTGTTGAGTGAGTGAGCATTGAGTGAGTGTTGAGTATTGAGTGAGCACTGAGTGAGCGCTGGGTGTTGAGTGAGCATTGAGTGAGTGTTGAGTATTGAGTAAGTGTTGAGAGTTGAGAGAGTGTTGAGTGAACATTGAGTGAGTGTTGAGTGAACATTGAGTAAGTGTTGAGAGTTGAGTGAGTGTTGAGCTAGGATCAAACATCACAACACTCAAGACATTCTCCTAAGCACTCCATCCTGACCTTCAGCAGTTAGCAGAGAGTCCAACTTCTAGTAGTGCCAGTTAAAGGTTAGTTGCATATCCTTTACAGGACATTGCAGAATTAACTCCAACAGCCCCTGGCTGTTGTGTGGTTTTTCTAGGCAAATTTACGTCCAGTAGTTTGCCATTGCTTTCTGGACGGTCGGCTCTCTTGATACCACTGTCGAAACCAACGCAAGGCCACATCTGGGATCGAACCCGGCATCCCGGCATTACAAAGCGTTAGCACTGACTTGGCCACAGAGCCGAGAGTAGTGCCAGTAGCAGTCTAATTATGCCTTTTGCCTTTCCTCTGAGTGTAGAGTGTCGATCTGATGCCCTGGTCACTCCTGGCTGTACCATTCTCTCCAGACCATAATGATCTATTCGACCCGCCACATTGTTCACTTGCTCCCAAAAGGTGCTGACCACCTCTAACTTATGCATAAGTTCACCATCCATTTGTGCAGAACCAGCCAGTCCGTCTGGATGTTCATTTCCAAACTCTCCAGCATGACCCGGAGAAAATATCGAAGGAACACTAACTACCCTATACCTCTGAAGTGATGCTTGCCACTCTGCACAAAGCATGCCTATCTCCACCTTGTGTAACTGTAGGAGTGCCCTAATATACGTTATGTGGATAAACATGGTTTCCTGGATTTGCTTCTGTTTGATTCTCGTCAATGAGGTGTTAATCCTATCAAGAGCAATCTTGGAGAGGAACACTGACTGACCAACTACTAAGAGAAAGACACACACATGTAGCCCAACACTGCCATGGTCTGAATCGGCTACTTCTTTTTTTTAAAGTCCATGCCATGTGGCGTTGGAAGTCATGTTTATCCACACCCTGCTGTCTTGTGTACTTTCAATTAGCTCAATTCAATTAGGTTAGATAAACATCGATGCCGTGATGTCCAACTTGCCAGCACCTTCTTTCTCTGTCTCCTTCTGCCTCTCTCTACTGTCAGGAGGTTTCACAACCCTGAGATAAACATAATCTCAATCCAGATGGCTGACCAACAAGACAGAGCATAAACATCCAAAGAAGTTATAATTAGCGCACACATAATGGCCACACCATCCGGGTGCAACCTGATTCCTGCGCGGCTAAGGACGAAGCCGGCATTTCTTCATCGTCAACAAGACCTTTACAGAACGTTGCTCTCTTCACGGCAAGCCTGAAAGTATCCCTTCCACTAACCAGCTCTCCAGCCCCATTTGCTTTCAGTGCCAATACATCTTCAGTGTCCTGAATCCATCTGCGCGGAGTTCGACCCCTACCTCGCTTTCCATAAAATGCACCCTCCATCACCGTCTTTTCCGAGCCACCATGACGTTTGATGTGGCCAAAATACTTCAACTTTCAGGACATAACGCTGTTTACTAACCAGTTCTTCTCGATCTTTAATTTGTGTAGAATGTCCAAGTTTTGCCCTCTTTTTTGATTTCTGCACACCCTTTAATTTTGCAGTATACATGCGGCAGCGACTCCGCGCGAGTGTGTGCGCACCAGCGTGAGTTAGTGTGTGTGTGCGCGTGCGTGCGCGTCTGTGTCGTGGGCAAGGTCAAAGGGTCTGCCCTTGGTACCAGGCGACCAAACGACAACCAGCTCGCGTATAGATCATTTACTGTCACCACGGCAACCGTGTCTTCTGCCGCCGCCAACGGGTTATTCTATCGACCTTCTCATTCATCGGAACTTGGAACTCGGCTGCCGGTCTTCCTCCTTGCACACAACGGGGGGACTCCGGCAAGCCACAACACATGAGGGAAGCTTCAAGCTTGCAGGCCAGTGAGTGAGTGAGTGCTGTTTCTGCGTGTGCTGGACTATGCGGATAGATGACAAACTTTTTGTTGACGCTGTGCTTCTCTGGTCGATTTTTGTGTTGCCCCCTTTTCTTGTGTATGTATCAAACGGAATTTTCACCCGCCCGCCCGCTCCACCCAAATGCGGGCTTGGTTTAGAAGTACGTTTGTGTCCCTGGGTTTTTCTTGTATGTGGTAACGCGACTAATTTTAGACAGAACATAAAAGCAAATTTGTCGACATGTCTCTGTGACTGTCTGTCTGTGTGCCTGTCTTTCTATCGATTTGTCAGAAGGTCTGCCTGGCTGCCTGCATGTATGACTTAATGTTTCAGTTTGTCTATCTGTCTCTGCACCTGTCTGACTCTTCTTTCGATCTCAGTCGGTCGGTAAGACAGAATGTACATTGTGTCTGTTTGTCTCGCAATGTGTCTGTCTCTCTTTGAAGGTATTCTCATTTCTGTATGTTTGTCTCTGTGTTCCCCTGTGTGACTCCAGGTGCCCATCTAAAGGGATTGTAGGGCGAGGATGTCGGGTAAGTAGGCAATTATTTGGGGTTTATTGAAATATATGTTGTGCCAAAAGATGCAGATATCACAACCTAGCTGTAACCCATAGCACAACGTGTCAGCCGCCCTTATAAGGTCAAACACAGAAGCAGTGTCTCCTTTGATCTGTCTACCTGTCTGTCTGTGATCTGTCTGTCTGTCTGTCTGTGATCTGCTTGTCTGTCTGTCTGTGATCTGTCTGTCTGTGATCTGTCTGTCTGTCTGTGATCTGTCTGTTTGTGATCTGTCTGTCTGTCTGTGATCTGTATGTTTGTTTGTGATCTGTCTGTCTGTCTGTGATCTGTCTGTCTGTGATCTGTCTGTTGGTATGCTCCCCAGCTCTGTTTATTTCTGTATCGGTCCTTCTGTCTGTCTGACCGTATGCCCGTCTGTCTTTATTTCGATAATCTTTTCGTCATTTTATCTCTGTTGGTATGTCTGTCATCATTTTGGTCTGTCTCATGGTTGTTTGTCTATCCGTCTGTCTGTCAGGGTGTCTTTAAGTTGGTATGTAAATATGTCTGTCTGTTTATTTTTTGGTTGCCCTGTTTGTAGACGTGTTTCTTCCTCGGTCTATATATATATTGGTCTGTCTGTGTCTCTGTTGGTCTGTCTGTGTCTCTGTTGGTCTGTCTGTGTCTCTGTTCGTCTGTCTGTATCTCTGTTGGTCTGTCTGTGTCTCTGTTCGTCTGTCTGTATCTCTGTTGGTCTGTCTGTATCTCTGTTGGTCTGTCTGTGTCTCTGTTGGTCTGTCTGTGTCTCTGTTGGTCTGTCTGTATCTCTGTTGGTCTGTCTGTATCTCTGTTGGTCTGTCTGTAACTCTGTTGGTCTGTCTGTATCGCTTTTGGTCTGTCTGTATCTCTGTTGGTCTGTCTGTATCTCTACTGGTCTGTCTGTATCTCTGTCTGTATCTCTGTTTGTCTGTCTATATCTCTGTTTGTCTGTCTATATCTCCATTGGTCTATTACAGCAACAAACCAAATCCATACAGCAGTAAAGTGTGAGCTGCCAACACTAACGTTGAAATGTGGGTGCGTATGGGTGTCAGTCTGTGTGTCGGATGTACGTATGTGTGTCAGTCTGTGTGTCGGATGTACGTATGGGTGTCAGTCTGTGTGTCAGATGTACGTATGTGTGTTAGTCTGTTTGTCGGATGTACGTATGTGTGTCAGTCTGTGTGTCGGATGTACGTATGTGTGTCAGTCTGTGTGTCGGATGTACGTATGTGTGTCAGTCTGTGTGTCGGATGTACGTATGTGTGTCAGTCTGTGTGTCGGATGTACGTATGTGTGTCTGATGTACGTATGTGTGTCAGTCTGTGTGTCGGATGTATGTATGTGTGTCAGTCTGTGTGTCGGATGTACCTATGTGTGTCAGTCTGTGTGTCGGATGTACGTATGTGTGTCAGTCTGTGTGTCGGATGTACGTATGTGTGTCAGTCTGTGTGTCGGATGTACGTATGTGTGTCAGTCTGTGTGTCGGATGTACGTATGTGTGTCAGTCTGTGTGTCGGATGTACGTATGTGTGTCAGTCTGTGTGTCGGATGTACGTATGTGTGTCAGTCTGTGTGTCGGATGTATGTATGTGTGTCAGTCTGTGTGTCGGATGTACGTATGTGTGTCAGTCTGTGTGTCGGATGTACGTATGTGTGTCAGTCTGTGTGTCGGATGTACGTATGTGTGTCGGATGTACGTATGTGTGTCGGATGTACGTATGTGTGTCGGATGTACGTATGTGTGTCAGTCTGTGTGTCGGATGTACGTATGTGTGTCAGTCTGTGTGTCGGATGTACGTATGTGTGTCAGTCTTTGTGTCGGATGTACGTATGTGTGTCAGTCTGTGTGTCGGATGTACGTATGTGTGTCAGTCTGTGTGTCGGATGTACGTATGTGTGTCAGTCTGTGTGTCGGATGTACGTATGTGTGTCAGTCTGTGTGTCGGATGTACGTATGTGTGTCAGTCTGTGTGTCGGATGTACGTATGTGTGTCAGTCTGTGTGTCGGATGTATGTATGTGTGTCAGTCTGTGTGTCGGATGTACGTATGTGTGTCAGTCTGTGTGTCGGATGTACGTATGTGTGTCAGTCTGTGTGTCGGATGTACGTATGTGTGTCGGATGTACGTATGTGTGTCGGATGTACGTATGTGTGTCGGATGTACGTATGTGTGTCAGTCTGTGTGTCGGATGTACGTATGTGTGTCAGTCTGTGTGTCGGATGTACGTATGTGTGTCAGTCTGTGTGTCGGATGTACGTATGTGTGTCAGTCTGTGTGTCGGATGTACGTATGTGTGTCGGATGTACGTATGGGTGTAATGTGGTTAGATACATAAGTGTGTGTATATGCGTTGGAATGTATGCATTTATAAATAATGTATGTATATGCTTTTGTGTTGTGTATGTGTTCGTTCAGATGTGTATGAACTTGTGTTCATTTGTATCAAAAATGAAGAGCCAGTAAACAAGACAGAAAGCTGCGGGCAGCAGCGAAAACAAACATCTCAGTGCATAAAACATAATGTAATACTGACTGACAAGGAAGGAGAGAAGCAAGAGGCAGTAATAATAATAATAATAATGATAATAATAATAATAATACAAATCATCATCATCATTATAAGAAGAAGCAGAAGTAGAAGCAGGATATTCGGGGAGGAGGAGAGAAAGAGATGGGGAAAAAAAGAGAGATAAAGACAATAAATAAGAAGAGGGGATGTAAGGAAGAGACAAGAGAATAATGATGATGATAACAATGATGATGATAATAATGATGATGATGATGATGAGGAGGAGGAGGACGTGGAGGAGGAGGAGGAGAAGAAGAAGAAGAAGAAGAAGAAGAAGAAGAAGAAGAAGAAGAAGAAGAAGAAGAAGAAGAAGAAGAAGAAGAAGAAAAAGAAGAAGAAGAAGAAGAAGAAGAAGAAGAAGAAGAAGAAGAAGAAGAAGAAGAAGAAGAAGAAGAAGATTAAGAAGAAAGAGGATGAGGAGAAGAAGAAGAAGAAGAAGAAGAAGAAGAAGAAGAAGAAGAAGAAGAAGAAGAAGAAGAAGAAGAAGAAGAAGAAGAAGAAGAAGAAGAAGAAGAAGAAGAAGAAGAAGAAGAAGAAGAAGAAGAAGAAGAAGAAGAAGAAGAAGAAGAAGAAGAAGAAGAAGAAGAAGAAGAAGAAGAAGACAAAGAGGAAGAAGAAAGATGAGAAAGAGGCGGAGAAAAACGAATGGTTGGAGGTAGCATGGAGATTCACCAGAGGACAACGAGGAGGGTAAGGAGTAGGAAAAGGGAATTAAAAAAAAAAAAAGGGGGCAGGAGAGTGGTAGAAGACAGAAGAAGGCGAAAGTAGAAGCCAGCCAGCACTGGCTGTGTGTGTGACCCACCTCTCGCTCATTGTCCCCAAAGGGTATGCTAAGTGTGCCCATAGCTCGGATGATGGCCACCAGAGATTGAATGGTGTTACTGTACACCACCGGCTTGTACTGCTTGTTGTCCTCGCTGGTGAAACCACCTTCATGGATAATCCTGGAGAGGAAAGCATCAACAAAAAACGTTATTGGATTGTCGGTCTTCTTCCTATTTCCTTGCTCTCCCTTCTTCTTCTTCTGCTCAGTCTTCATATAAAAAATATATATTTGTTTTCCCTTTTCCCTCTCTTCTTTTTCCTTCTTCTCCTCCTTTTTCTACATCTTCTTCTTCTTTTTCTTCTTCTTCTTCTTCTTCTTCTTCTTCTTCTTCTTCTTCTTCTTCTTTTCTTCTTCTTCTTCTTCTTCTTTCTTCTTCTTCTTCTTCTTCTTCTTCTTCTTCTTCTTCTTCTTCTTCTTCTTCTTCTTCTTCTTCTTCTTCTTCTTCTTCTTCTTCTTCTTCTTCTTCTTCTTCTTCTTCTTCTTCTTCTTCTTCTTCTTCTTCTTCTTCTTCTTCTTCTTCTTCTTCTTGTGAGGAGAGCGACGTTCTGCAAAGGAGCTGCGACATGATGACTGCTAATGGCTAATGAAAGTTAACAGTATTTACAACGAGAAAGAGTGATAAGAAAAGGAGCACCGGAAAGTAAACATTATATGCAACAACGAGAAAGAGACAAACAAAGTTCTTTGGTCATTGATAAGAAAAGGAGCACCGGAAAGTAAACATTATATGCAACAACGAGAAGAAGATAAACAAAGTTCTTTGGTCATTTGATAAGAAAAAGGAGCACCGGAAAATATCATGACGACTGGAAAGATCACTGGTAGAAGAGGCAGAGGCAGACCAAGATGGTTTAAGACAGTGGCATGAATGAATATCATCAGTGAAATTGATCCAGAGCAGCAAAGACCTAAATCTGTGGAGATGCATGACCGCCTACGCCAGCTGGCAGGGCACTTGATGATGATGAGTTACTGCTAAGGTTTAACACTGTTTTTGGGGAACTGGAAAGTACCTTTAAAATATTCATTGCAACAAATCTTAGAAATATCCACCACCGGATTCAAGATATGACTACACGTCTTTTTAGATTGCCAAAAACACAGTCTGCAGCGCGTCTGTTGTTATTACTTGAAGAGTAATTCTCACTGCTTTCACTGATCACGTCAGTCTATTTTGAGTGCAAAGAATTACTCTAGCAGATGACGGCCATTCTTTGCGTATTGCTTTACGTTTGACTGTGAAACTTATTGTTTGATGACGTCATGTACTTCGTTTCGCATATTTGTTCCATATACAAAGTCAAGTGAGACTTTTAAAACATACCAGTGGTTCCCAGCCTTCCCAATGAGGCGACCCTTAAATACAGTTCCTCATGTTGTGGCGACACACAACAATACAATTCTTTTCGTTGCTGCTTCATAACTTCAGTGAATGTATGGTTTCCGATGGTCTTTGGCGACTCCTGTGAAAGGGACGATCGGCCCACAAAAGGGGTCGCATCCCACAGATTTAGAACAGCTGCTCTATACGAATTCAGAACGGGAACGGGGGAAAAAAGAGGGGGGGGGGGGGGGGGGGGGGGGAGTATGGCAGAAGTTCTGGATGTTATTCAGCACTGAGAGCGAAACTATGCTGCAGCATTTACTATTAACACGTCGACACTTCACTGACGACTAAGGAAGATGATGTTGGATGCCGATTATTGATTGATTGATTCGTTTATTCTTATTGCTCAGTCCATTCACAAAAAGAACCACCCCCCCACCCCCCCAAAAAAAAAAAAAATCGAAGCAACAATACGCCAGGAAGCGTCTGACAAGCGTGAGATCATAAAATCCGTCCTGTGCCGGCTCCGTGTCGATAGATTGCTGTATATTTTTCGACCAGACCTACGCGCCACTCCACAAAATTCTCGTTGTGCCGGCTTCGTGTCGATAGATTGCTGTATATTCTTCGACCAGACCTACTCGTCATTCCAAACATTCTCGTCCACATCCTGTAGATTTCAAATAGCATCGGTCAATAAATCTATCAGTCAATCAATCAATCAATCAATCAATCAATCAATCAATCAATCAATTATTCATTCATTCATTCATTCATTCATTCACTCATACAATCAATCGGTCAGGGGCAGGGACCCCGCAACAATGAAACCATTAGGTGAGGGCTAGTCAGCACAGTTATAAAGGCTGAAACCATGTTTAAGTGCGCAATACTACTACTATTATTAATAATGGGTTGGTCATATGGTCAGGCGCCGCGTTAGCACAGTCGATAGAAGACTTGCTTTTAAATTCAGCTGCGACTCACTGCAGCCCACTGCCGGTGTTCGAAACCAGGCGGTTTCCTTGGTTCGCCCAGGCTCTAGGTAATGGGTACCAGAGTTAACCCTCTGGGGTAAATGGAGGAACGTCGCTGTAGCTAGGGAGTTGCCGGCGGACGGCGACACATGCGGACAGTTTCTTATCAGCTGTCCGTACTGGTGGCAGAGCACTTATGGGTTATAACCGTGTGTAATGAGGCTGGTTCACATCTCCCGGCTTTACCTTTACCAAGAAAGAGATGGGTGGAGGGAGTAACAGAGACACCACAGAAATGCTTGGCATGAACACAAACTCGACAACAAACAAAAAGACAGAAAACTACACCAAACTCCTCTTTGCGTCGCATTACGGCAGAATCGGTAGGGTAAACGATTATTGTTACTATTACAATTGTCTTTGAGGTCGGAGTACATCTGCCGGAGAGGCAAGGAACCAACAGACTGCATACAAATAAGTCGGGAACAAGGCTAATATCTAACATTTTTAGGGCGAATATTGAAGAACAATATATAAAAAAAAAAAAAAAAAACAGGAGGTGCTTATTAATATCCTACCCCAAATAGGGGAAATCCAGAGGTCACGCGACAGTTTAATATTTCGTGGGGAGGGGTGGGGGAATAGATAGGCTGCATGCAGTCGTGGGGCCTAGGCTGCACTCTCTTGTGGGACGTAGGTAGGTTGGGGTTAGGGCCAGTTCTAGATGTTTTTGGGTCGTTAACAGCATCAGAAAGCCGGGAAACCCAGTCTCGCCACCCTCTAAAATGTTGGACTGTCCTGTGACGTCATCTAGGGGTAGGATATTAATAAAGAACCAAACAGGAGAAACATATCACTTGTTACAGTATCTTTTTGTGTTTTGTTTTGTTTTTGATGTGCAGTGTTGGCCTCTCCCCTGTTTTCTTTTGGCATATGAAACCAAACGCACACAACATTCTAGCTCTTTCTCCCACCACGGCAAGAAATCTGTCAGGGCGTGGTCGCTTGCACGATCGAACCGGTAGCAGCCGAGAAGTCGAACACGAAGATTTTGCACAGTCACCGTGTTGTGTCTGTTTCTTCTTTAAGCAATTGTCCCACTAACGTAACACCAAGATCAAAGTATACAAAACGCTTTTAAGAACAGCAGTTTTATATGGCTCTGAAACTTGGAGCACAACTAGTTAGATGAAACTTTATTTAAAAAATTTTGAAGTCGTTTGACGAATCTTAGGACCCAGAGATGTACAAGGCGGGGAATGGGGAGTTTTTTTTTTAATTTTTTTAACGTATCCAGAAACCATGAGTTGTAAACCCTTTGGCTCGGTACTATGGATATCGCAACCCTTCGGCATTGATTCCATTATAGGTACCGTTAATCTGGTAGAAATGTGGCTTTTCTGCCTACCCCCGGGAGTGAACCCGGACCACAAGGAGTTCGTCACCCGGCCGCCGCGAAAATCAGGTTTAACCAACTTCGCTAGAGAGCCGGGCGGGAATGGGGAGTTAGAAGCAACAACGAAATTCATAATCCTTAAATCAGACTAGATCGCTGAGATAATGAGGTCTATTAGACTGAAGTGGTTGGGGCATATTGAGAGAGTGTCAGATAACAGAGAGGTGAAAACTGTGCACAAGTGAGGCGCTATCAGACCAAGAAGACGGTGGTAAGATGATATGCATACAGGACTACAAACATTGGTGTCACCATCATCAAATGGAATGAATGAATGAAATCAAGAATGAGTGAAGGAATTAAGGGATGACATAATTGAATTAGAGTTATTAAACTAACCAATATGTCAATCAATCGGTCAGTCAGTAGCATGTTCTTAGCAGAACTTTGTTTCCGTAACAACCTTCTGGAAAACTTGGAATGACGACCTCAAGAAATGGGCAGGACTAAATTATTTTACACTTGTTCAACAAGCGGAAGAGATACAGACAGAGAGAAAGTGAGAGAGAAAAGAGAGAGAGAGAGAGAGAGAGAGAGAGAGAGAGAGAGAGGAGAGAGAGAGAGAGAGAGAGAGAGAGAGAGAGAGAGAGAGAGAGAGAGAGAGAGAGAGAGAGAAATAGCGGCTTTTGTATGCTAGCAATACATCTTCGTGACCCTAACGGACCAAGGGTTTTATATATATATGTGCGTGTGCGTATGTGTGTGAATGCATGAGTGTGTATTTATGTATGCATGTAACGTGTGTGTGTGTGTGTGTATGTATGTGTGTGCATATTGCGCTACTGTGGTTTCCATGCCTTTCTTTAGCACAAAGCAATCATCATCATGTGGCAGGGCCTCTGTAGAACGTCGCTCTCAGCACAACCTGTCTGAAAGAAACGCGGTCTCTCGCCAGCTCTCCTACCTGGTGCATTTTCATAATCATAGGTAGACAAGACAGTTAGACAGACAGACTGGCAGCCAGCCAGACAGACAGACTGGCAGCCAGCCAGCCAGACAAGACAGTTAGACAGACAGACAGACAGACAGACGGACGGACGGACAGACAGATAGACAGACAGACAGACAGACAGACAGACGGATAGACGGATAGACAGACGGATAGACAGACATACAGACAGACGTAAACCCAGTCAAGAATAAAATTAAATAACCAGCTTGATTTCTCAGTCACACTTGCAGCGAACTCAACTACAGAGCAAAGCTTGCAAGAAGGCATCTCGCAGCTGAACCAGTTTCTCGCAAACCAGACCGCGAAATTACTTCATTGATTTTTCTAACACAGAGCGCAAGAAATGACATCATCAAAAAAGCACGAAAACGTCTCCAGCTAGATAATGTCTGGCTGTTTTCGGGTT